CCGCTTCCAGGACGCTGATAGCGTGGACTACAGGAAGTACGCGGCGTCAAAGGTCCACCGCTCGTGCTGCGCCCTCCGCGGGTCGCGGTTCAAAGTGAGGATGTTGTCGGCGATGTACGGGGGGCGCCCTTTACACTGGTTGTGGCAGCGACTCGAATGGTTGGACGAGCACAAGTCAGGCATCTTGGATGCCTTGCGCTCGGCCCCCCAACAACCTCCTCCTCCACCCCCCCTCGCCCGCCTCTTCCCTGCTCGACCCTCCTCCCCGCATCCTCCTTCTCCCTCCTCGCCCCTCGTGCTCCTCCTGTTCCCTGCTGTCGATCCTATCTCTTCATCGGGGTCCATTCCGAGCTTCTCTCCTCGAGTCTGAGCGAGCGAGTTCGTGGCCGCGGCCAGTCCGATTCGATCACCTCGATCCAGTCGGTGCGCCCTTGGCCATCCGAACGATAGAGCTCCTCGGTTCGGCGGCATCGCATCGTCTCGTGGATCGCCCCAGCCTGAGGCCATACGTCCGAAGACGAGCCCGTTCGCGGAGTGCCAGAAGCGCTTGATGACCATGCTGGCGACCCCGCCGACGGACCCCCAGTTGTCGGACTCCGGGCTGCCAACCTTGTGGTACCACTTCGAGCTGCACATGTCTCAGCAGCTGGCGGCAAAAGAGAGCGTCTTCCAGATCTGCACGTCCGCTTTCGCGCAGCTCCATTGGAGGTGCCGCGGCACGGGGGGCATAGTAGGATGGCATGGCGAAGATGGTGGGCAGAGGATGGGGGAGGGGGAAAGAGGCGGGAGGACGGGATGTGAGGAAGATGTAGGAGGGGGCTGGATGGAGCCGAGGAGGACGAGGGGGGAGGGCACGGGGCCTGGGCTGGGGGGATGGGCGGCGGTGGGATGGAGAGGGTGGAGGAGGAGGGCGGAGGAGGGGGGGCGTGCGGTTTGGCGGTCCTTTACCTCCCTTTCGTCCTCTTCCTGCTCTTGCCCCTTGTCCCTCTCTTCCTAGTTCTCCTCTTCCTCCTCTTCCCCCTCCCGCATCCTCCAACCCTCTTGCTTTTCCCCGTTGTCTCCGCCTATTTTTCTCCTCTCCTCTCCTTCTCTCCCTCCTCTCCTCTCCTCTCCTCTCCTCCTCTCCTCTCCTCCTCCTATTTGTCTTCCCCCTGGCCTTTCGCCGTTTGCATCTCCGCCGTCATATTCCATGCCCGCCCCCCGCCCCAGGTTCCATGATGTTCTTGAGGATTGGCCGCTTCGATTGCCGCGTCGCGCCACCGACGCGCCGCTCGTGGAGTTGCGCCAGGCCGCTAAAGAGTTTTTTCACGAGGACGCATGCTGTCTTGAACCAGAGCTCGCTGCAAAGCTACGCGCATTGTGGACCACTCCAGAGCAGATGCTCAACGATGAGTCGTTCTGGAGAGCTTTCAGATTATTTGGGAGGCACGCCCTGATAACGAACATGAATGTGGAGCGACTCTTCGCGCAGGTGCACCGGGGGGTGGACGTTTCCGACGCGTTCATGGAGCGCGCGCGCGAGTGGCTTCCTTTCGGAATGTCTTTCGCAGCACCTCAAGGCGGGCGGCAGCGATCCCAGAGAGGAGGTCGCCGCGGACATGATCGCCGCGGGGGTCCCTCTGCAGGCTGCGGCCCAGCATGTCACCAGAGCGGGGCGGCAGCAGCCCGGCTGGATGTTGCATGTCAACACCAAGGAGCGGGCTTCCAGCAGCCAGGCACCGCGGCGCAGCAGGATCCAGCAGGCAGCCCAACGCGCCCAGCTGAAAGCAGAGTTCGACAGATTACCGCAGCAGGACCAGGACCTTTGGAACGCCCGGGCTCGCGAGTCTTCACTCTTGAAACGGCAGGCGTCCCGAGAGGAAGCGGCGCCCCCTGACGTCGAGCCCATGCCGCCCCTGGCGGAGGACAGTCGGCCGATGTGCGGCCTTGGCGGAGATGGCCTACCATTGAAGCAGCAGGAGTTCCTATCCGCAGCGCGGTGCAAGCTGGCAGACGCCTTCAACGCATGGGGCCCGCAGGCGCGACGTGAGTTCCGGGGCGGCACCTTCGTCAAGGATGCAGGGCGTATCCCCGCTGGTATGAAGATCAGCGTGACTCGCGCATGCTGGCAGCGCCACGCTGGGGTTTGCATGGCGAAGGACGTGGCGGTATACGAGCCGTGTCTTCGCTCTGGCGCCGCTCTGGCGCAGTCCCTTTGGAGCAAGCAGTGGCAGTTCGTCTGGCTTCGCATTGACATCACGGAACCAGGTCAGCCTGAGTCAGTGTTCTCGGGGGGCTACTTTTGGTGCGCCTACATCAGAGGAGCGAACCCGCTGATGTCGCTATTCGTGGCAGGCCCCGCAGCGGAGTCACGAAACCCAGCCCTTTCCCCTCCTCATGTGCCTCAGGTGGCCCCCCTCCCCCCCGCCCCTCTCGCTCTGCCCCGCCCCCCCCCCCCCCCCCCCGCGTCGCGGAGGCTGCCGCGATTAGCGGGGGCGGGGGCGCGGGGAGGGGGAACGGGGCGGATGCGAGGACGACGAGGCCCTGGATGAGGACGATGGCGACGACGCGGAGATTGATGATCGGGGGGTTTGGGGGTACATGGGGGAGAGGGCCCTGCTGGCGGCGGAGGACGAGGAAGGGGGGGGGAGGGGGAGAGGGAGGAGAGGAAACGGATGAGGAGGAGCAGGAGCAGGAGGAGGAGAAGAGGAAGCAGGGCTCGCCTTGTGGAGGGTGACCAGCCCCCCCCCCCCCGCCCCGGTAGGCGACGCTTGTCCCGCCGGACGAGCTGTGCAGCTCCGCATTGAGGATGGCAGGCTCGTCGTGCTGAACCAAGTCTCGTTGCTGAAGAGGTTGGTCGGCGGCGCCCTCCCCTCGGAGGGACAGCAGCTTCGCATTCAGAAGATGCTGACCACGGCGTCCGAGGACCCGCAGGCGCCACTGAGCCTGCAGGACATCCAGAAGGTCTCGCCCCCCGAGGTTGTCGTGGATTGCGTGTTGCAGGCGCGCGTGCATCAAACGCAGTCGTCTGTCGTCGTCTGGCCGCGAGTCGCGAGGAGGTCGATGGTCGTCAGGGTCAATATGATGGATCTGGAGGACGGCGCGGGGTGCAGGAGGTAGTGGGTCAGGTGGCGGACGCGCCATGCTACTGAGGTTGAGGAGGGAGAGTTAGGAAGGTGAGGCGGGGGGGTCTGGGCGGTGATGCGGTGGCAGAGTCACGCGTTTTCTGGCGCCGCGCCCAGAGGCGGCCTTGCCTGAGAAGCTCGGCGTGGATCTCGAGAATTGCGCCGTGCTCGATTTGTTTGACGCAGCAACCCCCCATGGTCGGCTGCTGGCCCATTTCTCAGACCTCTTCCGTGCTACCGACCTCGCTGGCACAATCGCCTTGTCTGGAGAAGTCCTGCGCCAGCTTCCCGACGCGGCCGCCGCGCACCACGAGTTGCTGCTTGACAGCGGCGACGAGGATGACGACCTGGGCGGCCTGGCAGATGCGCCGCCCGCGGCGGCCCTGGCACCAGCTGCGCCAGCTGCCGCGGCCTTCGCAGCCCTCCCAGCAGCAGAGGCCACCCTGGCGCCAGCGGCGGCGGCCCCAGCAGCGGCGCCCCCGGCAGCGGCGGCCCCAGCAGCGGCGCCCCCGGCAGCGGCGGCTCCTGCAGCGGCCCTGCCCGCCGCGTCAGGAGGCCCACTTCACCCCGAGGTACCTCCGCCTCCACCCCCGCATCCAGACGGCCGTCGCCAGCGGCGCGGGACGCCGTGGGGGCCGTTCATGATCGCAGAAGTCGTGAGCCAGGGTGTCAGAATCGGGTGGGGGGCCACTTGCGGCCTCCACACGAACGTCGGGGACACGGCGGCGTGCAAGCGCAATCTGAAGTGCCGCGGCCGCGCAGCCGGGGAAGTCTTAGACGACGCTGGCTGCATGCGGCAGCTCAAGCGGTGGCTCCAGGCGGGTTTAGATCACATTGACCCAGGAGACGCTCGAGCTCGGGACCTCCACATGGAGGTTCCAATTCGGGATCTAGGGCCACAGCGGGTGCCCGAGGATCTGACGCGCCCCCTGCTTGAGTGATGTGATGGTGACGCTGTCCCGTCTCAGGGGTTGAACAATCAGGATGATCAGGGCAGGGGGGCTTTATCTCACCAAGCTGATGGGGCGCTGTCAAACCTTTTTCGCTGTTCTGAACCAGAAGGGCAGCTCGCATGTTAAGGCCGCGGACGGATTGAGGGCGATCCATGCTCCCGGCCTGCGTGGGAAGTTGCCAAAAAGATTGCAAGGGGCCTCCTTGAGTCCGAGCTCAGGAGTTTCAGATGCACTTACTAGCTTACTACTGTATACTTACCCCTCTTGACACTGCCCCCTCCCCGCTCCCTCTACCCCCCCCTCCCCCCTCGTCCTCCTCAATCGTCTGAACCCCCCCCCCCCTCCTCATCATCTCCTCCACCTGCTCTTCTCCGCCCCCGCCTGATGTTCTCCTAACCCTGGTGTGAGGCCCCTGGCCCAACGTTGGTCTCCTCGTTGGGGGCGGGGGGCAGCGCGCTGATGCTTGAGCCGCGGGGCCCAGGGGCCGATGCCGCCGAGTCGAAGCAATCCTGCGAGACCTGTAAGCAATGTCCTGTCCAGGGGGGGTTCTGATTCCTGGGGTTCCAGCGCGCGTTCGGAAGCCATCTGCGTTCAGGCTTTCCTGTCGAACCCCCGCTCCCGCACACGCCGTTCGGAATTCCACTGCGCCTGGATGCCAGCGCGCACGTCTGCGAGCGCTGGACAGCCGGCGGCAGCCACGGCCAAATCGATCATGCAGACGCTCCTCTCGAACGCAGCGGCAGCTCCGCCTGCCCTGCCGGCGGGTGCGGCAGATGCTGCTCCTGGAAGTTCCACGGTCAAACCCAAAGCCACCCCCAAAGCCAAGGGCAAGGCCAAGGCCAAAGGAGGGACGGGCAAACCCAAATGCAAGGCGGCCAAGGGCGATGGCCAAGCATCCCAGGCAGCCGATGCTCTAGTGCCCGCTACACTCGACAATCCTGCCATGGGGCAAGATACCCCTGAGGCCCTGGAGCCTAGCGAGGGCGACCAAGGCCGCGCTCTGGCATCGCCTGGGGTTGTCCGATCTGGCCTGGAAATGGCCGCCCTCTGCGACCAGTTGGGGCTCACCGCAGCCAGCGTGGCGTCGCCTGAGGCAGCAGGCCCCGCAGCGCCCAGCTGCGCTGTGCAGGGCTCGCCTCCCCCAGCGGCCGTCGCGCTGTCAGCTGCCGCCGAGATCGGACCGCCGCCTGTCGAGCAGGCGGCCCTGTGCACCCCGCCCAAGGGAGGGCGTAGAGATCATGGTGCGGTTCATGGTGATGACGCTCGCGCGGCCTGCAGCGGCGTCCTGAGCGGCGACAGTCAGTCTGGCCGCGGCGAGGTGGCTGCCACCTCGATCGCCCCGCAGGGGGATGCATGCGCCGCAGTGGATGGTGACGACATTCCGAGCACTCAGCCTTCGCCGCCGACGCCGCCGCCTGCTGCCGATGGCTCAGGCACCCACACCCCGCCCGGCCGCGAGCCTGTCGCTACCTCGCCCCCCGCCGCCACCAGTGGGGCTCCGCTCGCGGTCCCCGCAGGCGGCGGTGGCTTGGCGCTGGAGGGATCGCTGGAAGAATTGCTTGAGGAAGCCCTGGATGCCGACGGCGTGGAGGCGATCGAACCAGCGACGGCAGCGGTCTCCGATAGCGAGTTCGACCCTAAGGGCCCGCGCGAGGCGGCCGCCCTGAGCCACGCGCGCTTTGATGTCAGGGTGTTTGGCGGGGCAGCAGCTCGCGAGTTGGCCGCGGGCGACGCCCTGCGGTGCCATGCCGTTGCCGCGCAGACGGCAGGCGAGGATGTTCGTTCGCGCCTGCAGGCTTCGCCGCCTGCGACGCCGCGGCCTCGGCAGGCGCCTGCCCAAGACGCCCCCGTTGGCACGCTGGTGAAGACGCCTACTCTGGGGCTGAAACTCCCCTCGAGGTTGGCCAAGCCGCCGCCCTTTCGCCCGCAGCTGCGGGACGTCCCAGAGTCGCCCAGCTCCCGGAGCGCAGCTTCGACGCAGCCGATGCCCTCGCCAGGAGCTTCGACGCAGCCGATGCCGTCGCCGCCAGCCTCGCCGCCTGCGGCCCCTGTTCAACCTACGGGTGGTGCCGCGGCGGGCCCGCTGGTCGCGGCAGCCGTGACCGCGACGCCCGCGGTGCCGCCCACGTGCCAGGCGGTGGTGCAGCGGGAGGCTCCTGGTGTCGTATCCTCCTTCGCCTCGTCCTGCCTCCGCGTCTCGAAATCTGCTAACCTTTCGCATTGCAGGTCCACCGCGCTGCTGCTCGTGCCCTGCTGCTCGCGGCTCCCACCCTCTCTCCACCCTCATCCTCCCTCAGCCCGCGCGCCACCCTCAGCCCCGCCCCGCTGTCCGCGGCAGGCTCCCCTGGACGTCCAGGCCGTCGGGCAGCTGCTGGGAGGGCTCTTTCACGGGCTACCAGACGCCAGTTCCGACAGCGAGGACGAGGCGCCGCCCCCCCCCGCCCCTGGATGGGTCGCGCTCGGGGCTGAGGGGCACGTTTCTCGGGGGGGGCGTTTGTGGTTGTTTACGGGGGGCTCCCGAAAACTCACCGTGCGAGACGTTCTCGTACGGCCCCCCCTCCCGATAATACCGAAAACCCCGCCCCGAAAATACAAAGAATTCTGATCCTCGTGAGGGGTGCGCTCGTGCGAGAACCGCCCCGGGACAGGAAATTAATTTTCGGGGCGGGTCCGTGCGAGAACTTCTCGTGCGGACCATTTTTCGGAGCCCCCAAAAACCCTCGTGCGAGAAACTCCTCGTACGAGACACCCTCGTACGAGAAACTCGCTGCTCGTCATCGGTCGCCGTCGCCCCTGCGCCCGCCAGCAGGCCTCCGAGGGCGCGATGGACACGGACGTGCCGCCTGCGGCCCCCGCCCGCTTGGGCGCTGCGCGGGGGCGTGTGGTGGCGTCGGGTTGACGGCGGCGGCGGCGAAGGCAGTGCTGGCGGGCGGCTAACAGGGGATCGGGGCGGAGGACGACGAAGAGAACGACGAGGGGGGCGACGACGACCAGGAGGATGAGGAGGCGGGGCGCGGCCCTGACGAGGGCGCGCGATTCGCTGCGGCAGATGCCCCCTCAGGGCAGCCCTCCCAGCCTGGAGCCTCCTCCTCATCCCCCTCTCCCTCCTTCCCCTCCTGCCCCTGCCCTCCTCCTCTCATCCCCCTCTGCCTCCGCCTCCGCCTCATCCTCCTCCCCCTCCTCCTCCTCCTCCTCCCTCCTCCGCCTCCTCCTCCTCCTCCGCCTCCTTCCCCTCCGTCTCCTCCTCCTCCTCCTCCTCCTTCTCCTCCTCCTCCTCCTCCTCCTCCGCCTCCTCCTCCCCCCCTCTCCCCCTCCTCTCCCTTCTTCTCCTCCTCTTCCCCCCGCGGCGCCCCCCGCCTCGACCCGCCTGGCCCACGTCCGCTCGCATTCCCACCCGTCCCAGGTCGCCGCGTGCGTCCTGGGCGGGGGTCCCCAGGTCACAGGGGCATCCTGGTCCTCGGTTGCCTAGTGCCAGGTCCAGGAGAACAGTGGGGGCCTCAATGCTGGGGTCTTCAGGTTGCGGATGGTCTCCAGGCTTCCGGAGGTTCAGGTTTTCCAGGCTTCAGGTCGTCTGGGGCGCTCCTGGTCCAGGTCCACGCGCCTCAGGAGGTCCCCGGGTCCCCTCGGCAGCCCCGTTTGCGGCGTGTCGCCAGGCTGCCCCAGGAATCCAGGTGGAGGTGACGCGACCGCGGTCACCGCAGGCGCCGTTGGCTCGAGACAGGCTTCCACGCCCTTCCCACTTGCGATCCCCGCGGGCACAGAACCGCTCTGGGCACGACATGTCCGCGTCCGAGTCGGCCGACGCTAGCGCGGCGGCGCTTCCTGAGGCGCTGCCGGGGTTCGCTGCGACCGCGGCGCAGACAGAGATCAGCTGGGCGCCTTGGACCATCGTGCATTGGGCTGCCGACCCGTGGGTGCCAGATGCGGTGGTAAACGCGTCCGCGCCAGCCTCCGTGGACGGTGATCCCCCAAGCCCGCCGCCTGGAAATCCGCTGGCCCTGGCAGCGCCGCCGCCGCCGCCGCTGGAGCCGCCGCCACCAGAAGAGCCCGCGCCCACTAGCGAGCCAGCGGCGCAGCTCGCCTGCATTCCTGGCACGATGGTGCCCGCGAAGCCGCCGCCAGGCGTCTCAGCCAAAGCGTGGCTGCAGCAGGCGGCAGCACGTTACATTGGCAAGCCGCCGCCAGCGACCGTTCCCCCTGTCAGGTGGCCGCCGGCGGACGTCATCTATGGCAGGCCCCCGCCGGCGAAGGTGATCCATGGCATGCCACCGCCAGTCCCAGCTCACCCTGGTCAGTCGGCGATGGCGAAGGCCAAGTCTCCGCTGGCGCCCCCGCCGTTGCCCTACCACGTGTCCTCGCTGCCGCCGGTGCCCGCGTCCTCCTCATCCTCGGAGTCCATGTCGCCACCCTGGCGCGGATTGCCGCTGGCTGCTCCGCTGCCGAAGCCCAAGCCGCAGCCCGCGAGCGGCCCTGTCCAGGCTGATGGGCGTCGTCGCCGTCGGCGTCGTCGTCGCGGCTGCAGACGACCCCGACAGCGCCGCAGTCGGAAGCGTCGACGACGATGGCGACGATGGCAACGACGGCGACGACGATGCCCAAGCGGAGGCTGGCAGCAGCACGGACCACATCCCCTACAAGAACCCGCCAGTGCCGCCTGCAGCGGCGCCGATTCACGTGGTGCCCTCCCCCTCCCTCCTCCAGCCTCCAGACCGCTACTCCCTCCGCCCTGAGGTCCTACCACCCTCGTCGCCTTGCTCCTCCTGTCCCTGCCCATCGCATCCCATCCCATCACGTTCGACTATATGTGCCTGGCTGCTTCGAAACCCATATCGCCGTTCACGTCGTCTTGTCGGCGTCCGCCCTTCTCGGTGCACCAGCGCGTTGTCCACCGGCACGTCCACGAGCGCGTGCTTCCAGAGGTTGAGCTGAGGTTTGGCCCTAGCTGGGCACATTATGCTGGCCTCACATTCCAAGACATCCTGGACCGCTAGAGGGCATGCTGATGCCGCCTGCCTGGAGAACAGCGAGCCCCGTCAGACTGCGAGCGGGGGCGGTGCGACCTGAGCGCGACACGCGCAAGTCCAAGCCCCCCCTCGAGCCTAGGCCGGGTTGGCTTTTCTCGTGGGTGGTGGTGCTTCAGCGTCGTCGTGATCAGGGCGGCTGGGTGACGTACTACTCTGAAGATTTCAGGCACATCTATTTCTGGAACGCGGAGTTGGGCTCGTCTTCGTGGTACCCACCTGGGGACCCGTCGGGCACAGGCGGACTCTGACCTTGACTCCTCGGCCGCAATGGGAATGAGACCGCCCTCGCGGAGGCCAAGTGACTGGCCGGCGGCGTCTGTGCATTCGGTGACGATGACGACGACGTCGAGCGGCGGCTTTACCGACTCACCCACCTCGACCCCGATAGCCTCGTTCCGCTCCTGCCCTTTTCTTGACGTCGACGCCGCTGTCTCGTGGCGCTCGCTAGAATACGAGCTCTGCCAGGCACCCTGCTGCTCTGGCCTGCCTGTGGCGCGGCTGCACGCGGGCGCGGTCGGGCTGCCGCATTTTCTCGTCGCGGCGCCAGGAGTGGGCCGCATTGAGATTCCGATCGTCCCGCCTCCCCCCTCCCAACCTCAATCTTTCGCACCCCATCCACCTCCCCCCCACTCTTCTCTACGCTCCGCTCCCAAAGCGCCGTTCGGTACCTGAGTTTGGCTTTCCAGGTGCAGGCGTTGAATTGCGCGCGCAGCGCCCGCTTTCGACTGACGATGTATGCGCGAGTCTTGCCGCTGCGCGACCACTGGGTGAAAACAACGGGTGCAGAGGAAGCGGAGCGTAGAGAAGAGTGGGGGCGGAGTTGGCGCAGCTATCGAATGTCTTCCGTTTGGCGCGCACGCAGGCTTCCCTGGCGTCGATTTGGTCCGACTGTGCTCTTGCAGCCTTGCATCACTGGGCTCGATGTGTCTCGAGGAGGGCGAGCATCCTTACATGAATGTGGCTGTGGCACGCAGTCGCTTCGAACGTCGGCCAGGGGGGGGGGGGCGATTTGACTTGACCGCGGGAAGACCGTCTTGAGGGCCTCTTATGGGCGTTCTGCTGGCTTGACCTCTGCGGGTTCTGGCGCGGGGGCCTTCTGCGGGCCTTATGGACGTTCTGCTGGCTTGACTTCTGCGGGTTTCGTCCTGGCCCTTTGGGGGCCACTTTGGGGGCCGAGCTCGGGGGGCCTGCCTGCGAGGGGCCGTCGCCACTTCGCCTCGCTCCTTGTTCGCCTCGACTGCCAGCCAGGTCGACAAGGACGCCCTGCGGGATGTCATCCACCGCATGCATGACCTCGTCCCGAAGCAGCACATGCGCCGGCTCAAGCGCCGGCTCAAGCGCCGGCTCAAGCGCCGGCTCAAGGGGGGGCGGGCGCCGAGGGGGGGCGCCGGCTGCCATTGCTGCCTCCGTCTTCGTCGAGGTCAGCGAGATTGGTTCAATTTGGGTTCAATCGGTGAGATTTATCAGTGGGATATCACTCTCATTGGTGGGGTATCGACTCAATTTGGCGAATTCGCGAATTTATTGGGTTTTGTCAATTGGGCGCTTTCCATATCGAACTTTGGATTATTGGATCGTACTTACACTTTCGGCCATGCCGACTTTGCAGATTGGAGAAACTATGCAAAAGCTCTTGTCTTTAGATATTGATAAGCAGAAAAGACTGAGAGACGACGCTCGGATGGCAGACGAAGATAAGGAAAATCAGCAAGAGGCCTCGAAAGCTATGAGAACACTGGTGGCCAAGGGTTCTGCTAAGGGTACGGGCCTGGGAGAGAATGGTACAATATCTTCAGGGGCTGCCCCAACAGCCACAGGGGCTGACGGTTTTTTGGTGCAACTCGAGTCGCTCCTCGATAAAAAGATCGCTCCCATCAAGGACCGTATCGACTCATTACAACTTGACGTTCTGGGAACTCAAAAGGCCTTGGCCCAGGAATTCTCAGTAGCCGTCACCCTGATCAACGACCACGAAGTAAAGCTTGCCAACCTTGAGGCAGGTGAGACTGAGGTGCAGAAAGCCTTCAACGAGAGGATTCTGGCGGTCGAACTGGAGCAGAAGTCTCTGCGCGCAGAAATGGCAGCCAAACAACTGGAAAGCCAGTCTAGTCAG